TGAGTGAGTGAGTGAGTGAGTGAGTGAGTGAGTGAGTGAGTGAGTGAGTGAGTGAGTGAGTGAGTGAGTGAGTGAGTGAGTGAGTGAGTGAGTGAGTGAGTGAGTGAGTGAGTGAGTGAGTGAGTGAGTGAGTGAGTGAGTGAGTGAGTGAGTGAGTGAGTGAGTGAGTGAGTGAGTGAGTGAGTGAGTGTGTGTGTGTGTGTGTGTGTGTCATACGTGACTCTGAGCGTGTAACGGCTCATTCAGTGACACTCATTTCTTCAGAAGGGACTCCAAATACTCCATCTATCTATCTGTCTGTCTGTCTGTCTGTCTTAAGAATTTACATTTTAATATTAATTTAATTTAATGTAATAACTCACAATTTGTATGTTGTTTATATATATATATATAAGAATTTATGTTTGTGTGTGTTTTTGCACACACACACACACATTAATTAATCATTTGTATGTTTATATAAATGTATACAAATATATTAAAATATGTGTATAAAAATAGAAATAATTTATATATTTATATACATAATATTTATATATATTTTTATATTTATATGAATGTACTGTATTTTAATAATAATTTGTATGTTTATAATTTGTATGTTTTTAAAAAATTTAATTTAAATATATATATAAAAATAAAATTATGTATTTATATATATATACATACAAAAATTCTACTACTAATTTAAATATAGAGGACAAATCTGAATGATTTGCTATGGTAACTGGCAGCATGTCTCAGATCTGTAAATGCGTGTTTAACCTCAGATCTCACTGTGATAGGACTCATGGTTTATCTTTTATTAGATTCGTTTTATATTACACTGGAAACGGGAAGCACACACTGAGTTGTGTAACTGTGCTGATGTGTGTATTTGTTCCTGCACGTTTGTTTATCTGTGTGCCGGGTGTGTTTCATATTTGTGATGGTGATAAGCGGACGTCTGGGATTGTTGGAATGCTGCTGATGGGAATGTGCCGTGATGCGCCTCAAAACCGCTCAAATATCAGTCCTTCCCAGCATCCTTCTGTCCTGCGTGTGTTATGAATTTTAATGCATGGTTAGATGATCAGCAGAAATGCTGAGTGTCGAGTTAACCAGCATAACAAACCAGTTAACCAACCTAGATGGATTAGTCAACCAACCCTTTTGCGGCTCCTTTAGCTGGAAACCCTGCTGGTCAACCACCAAAACCAGCTTTAACCAGCTAGAAAGAAGTTTAATCTTCAGCCTGATCTGATGTGTGAAACCATAAATGATCCTGGTCTGTTAACCCTGACGTAACCGTGTGTAGATGGTCTGCTATTTCATCTGCTCTTATATTACGGCTCTTCATTTCATGAGTAAATTTATCGCATAGTTCACGCTTCGCCATATTTCACCGTCTGGCTCTCGAGCCGCTTCACACACCAGGACCGAGCAAGAAATGTGCTCAGATTGAATCAGACGTGTGAGAAATGTGAGATGACATTAGAAAGTTCTTCCTACTTAGCAAACCGTGTCCATTTTTACTGCCTGTGAAATTCATTTTATGGACAAAATAGGGTTGCACGATTTGGGGGAAAAATCGAATTGCAGTTTTACTGATAAATTCAAATGTGCTGTGCTTATTTGTAGCAGTGTTATTTAAGAATCTATTAAAAATAATTATAGTATTAAGTTATTATAGTATTTATTTTGAAATCATTTTACGTTAAAATTTTCTGTTATTTTAACTTTAGATAAGGTTTAATAATTCTGTTGTGTTTTTGTCTTTTTTTTGGTATGTACAGTATATAGTTTTTATTAGTTTTAAATCTAGTCCTTTTAGTACATCAAGTTAAACTGAATGAAAGTTGAAAGTGATTTTTTTTTTTGACAACTACATGAAAAAAAAAAGTTTATTTTTAGTATTTTCTTTTATTTCAGTTAATGTTTATTTTATTTCAGGTAACAATTTTTTTGTGGATTCGTTTTATAATAACCCTGATTTATTGGGCTGCACAATTTGGCTAAATTTGTATGATTATATATCAATAATATATATATATAATACATTAATTATTATTGTTGTATATTTATTTATTTTAATAATGTTATTTTAATAATAATAATGACTATTTACTATTATTTTTTTATATAAACGCATATTGGTCAAAATAAGAAATATTACAAACATTTCACTGTAAAATAAGATAAAATAAACTATAACTAAAATTTTTAAATACATTTTAGGAAAAATAATATAATAAAAAAATAATACTTTATATTACAATACTAATATTTATAGCTCTCTTCATTTTTTTTAAACGTTAAACCATCAAGCTTTTATTTTGGTGTGAATCCGCGGTGACACCTTAATGCTTTTCTTTCTTTTTTTTTCACTCTGAGATGCTGTAAACAGCGGTGCCGCACTTCACTGTGAAACACGACGTGAATATATTGATTTAATTAAATTAAAATTAAGTGACAATCGCAATAATTAATCAGACTACAGCCCTATGCAGAATGACCCTGACCTGTTTTCCCTTCTCTCTTGTTTCTGCACAGAATATGACAGACACCTAGCGCACAGTAAAGGCATGGCGACGGCATACCTGGAGCCCAACCACACCCTGGGCACCGGGGCCAAGGCCCGTCTCAGCGCGGGGACGGAGCGGGCCCCCAGGGCCCCGGACAGGGTCCTGAAGGTCTTCCATCACTTTGAGAACAACAGCGAGCGCAGCACCTGGTCTAGCAACATCCGGTATGGAGACGCCACCGACGTCAGGGTAAGAGAAAGATCACAGTTGTGCTTAATGTCTGTCTTCTGTGTATCAGTATCTATAGCTGTTAGAATCTGTTTTTTTATGCTAACAGAACCCGTTTCTGAGGGTTTTATATGGTTTCTAGATGGTCCAAGCTGTCCTTTTGTAGTCTTTAGCTGCTCTGAGTTGTCTGGCTCTTTCTCATTAATGATTTTAATTTGTTTCTTATTACTGTAACACTGCAATGAGAATCTACCTGTCCAGACATATAATTTTTTTTTAAATGCATTTAAAAAAAATTTTTCAAATGCTATGTTTAAATGTATTGTATTTTAAGTATGTAATGCATATGATTTCATCAAATATAAACAATTTATATATTTAATTTAAATTTATAAATATGTAAATTGTTTATGATTGATAAAATCATATGTATTAGTAATAATCACTTTAATGTAGCTTGCTCTCACTGTTGTACACGGAAGAAGCTCCGGGGGAATGACATATGAGGTCAGTGCTGCGCATGTGCCGCTCAAAATTTACGCACGCGGAAGCGCAGCGGAGAGATCAAAACATAACACCGGTCACTTATTAGAAGTACAAAACGAGGATTTGTGAAGAAGAATGTCGGAGGATTTCGATATAAGCCAAGAGGAGACTGATTTTCCTTTGCTAAAGTAAGGAAACTTTGCTTCCTTTGCTCCTGTAAACAAACGTTGGTTTTCACGAGACTCACCGGCGCATGCGCAGTGCTGAACTCATACGTCATCAGCCCGGAGCTGCTTCCGTGTAGGACTGTTGGCGCAAGCTACATTAAAGTGATTATTACATTTTGAATATGGATATTTTCTTACAAAAACGCATCGATTCGCTACAGAAGTCCTTTGTTCACCCCCCGGAGCCGTGTGAGACACTTTTTTATTATGGATGGGCGCTTCTTATTTAACTTCTTTTGGACTGATGCATGCAACACCCGCCGAGTGCCATTAAACAGCTTGAAAGATCAAAGACCATTTTTAATATAACTCCGACTGGATTCGTCTGAAAGAAGAAAGTCATATACACCTAGGATGACTTGAGGGTGAGTAATTTATGGGCTAATTTTCATTTTTGGGTGAACTAACCCTTTAATGCATGATAATTTACAGTCAACAAGAGCAGCTTTTGGTCTTATTGTACCTGATAATTCAGTGCATTGTAAGGCAGTACACTACAGGCAAAAACACAGGGCAGTTTTGAGATCCTGGACTATTTTACTTCCATAATACATCTTATTTCAGACTAGTGGACAGAAAACATCCAAAATACATTTTATTGCGCTTTATCTATTTGCAAGATGTTAATCACTATACATTCCTTTAATGTTTAAATCTCCACTTCAGTGGCACTTACATAGACCAAACCTACTGTTTACACTATAAAACAACATTACAGTATTAAATAAAGAAAGAAATTACTGTATTATATAAATAAATAAATATATAATAAAGCAGTATTATAAAACAATACTGTTTTATTCATGTCTATATTCTGAAGGTTTTTACAGAGGGATTTGTTGTATTTTTCTGTCTGTTGTGTTGACAGTATTTTCTGATTTATTGCATGATGAAAAGAGATATCTATAATCTCCTGTAAAAACCTTTGCCTCTAATATGTCAACAAAACGCTTTTAAAACAGACTTTGTCCAATGTTAGATTTCTGTTCTGGAAATGTATGCAAATGAGTGCATATTTAATTAGATAATGCATAATTTGCATCTTTAAAAATAATAAAAACACTGGTCAATTTTGAGATGCTGGCCTGTTTTGCTTCTGTAACATCTTATTTCAGACTAATGAAAAAACATCCAACATACACTGTGTTTATTTTTTTGCATATGTAAATTTGAATTATACATACAGTGGGTACGGAAAGTATTCAGACCCCCTTAAA